AGTACTTGAAAGAAAAACGTTTTCTTTAAGACAATTATACAGAATTAAGTCATATGAAATCAATCCCATTTTGCATATCAAATACAGATCCTAACTCTAAGTCCATGTTGCATAAGAAAAAACTGAATTTGATTTGACAACGCTATATGGAAAATATAGTTACTCTTTAGTAGATCATTTTGAATGGTCAGGTGCATTTTTACCTGCATTCCTTTGAACTACACATGAAATACATAACTTTATATTTCAAGATATTTACCATCAATCACATCTTTCATTGTCAGACTCTTGAGAGCAAAAAGAAAAAGGTTAAACAATTTTGAGTTAATTCTAAAAAGTTTAGGAGTATTCTAACATTTTATTAACGAAAAAAAAAAAAAAAAAAGGTGTTAATACATTATCTATAGAAATGTCAATAAAGGAAAGATAAATGAAGTGAAAAATTAACATAAAAAGTACAAAAAAAATTTGTAAAGCAAAAGTTTGTATTACAGAAAATCTTACCTGTGCAATTTCAAATTAATTTTATTATTGAAATCACTGAAAGACAATCTTTTATATACAGTGTCCCTTTATGATCTTTGCTTTCTACAACTTCCTAATCTTTCATAGCTGTAAGCAAATATTTGCTCCCTTAATATCCCTCCCAGTTCCTGTTTTGTCATCCTTTTACATGAGTTTTATCAGATTGTTATTTTATGTTTTCTTCTGCACCCTTATGCCTTCAATCTGCCCTGTGAGTGTTAAATTCTCCAAGCTATCTTTCCTTATTATGTGCCCCAGAAATTTCAAATCTCTTTCTGATTCTAAGCACAAATGTCCTTCCTGTGTCTCTTTTTTCTTATTGATAACACTGCAGACATGGACACAGTAATAAACTGATTAACAAGCCTACTTTTTTTTCAAATATTTTTTTCTAATAAATTTAGTAATGTAGCAATTTCAAAAATAATGAAGAAAAGCTGTACCATCAACATTCTCCAAATAATGGAATGTTTTATTAATTTGCCATTCATTTGAGAATAAACATACATAATTTATTATGTAATGATATAGATCCACACCGAGTGATACTTCATAAGCTGAGGAAAGCAGTTAATACATGCAATACACAAGTTGTAAATCATTCTAAATTTTAAGGCTCTACTACTACAACAACAGCAACATTTTCAAATGATTTGCTGCCACAATATTTCCAACACCAATGCTAATATATCCTTCCATAGACACCTAAATATCTTGTAAGATTTTATGTCTATCCACAGGTTTATATGACTTTTTTTTTTTACCTTTCATTTATTGGATACTTGTCACTTTCATTTGTGCTTGTATCAAAACAAAAATAGCCTATCAAGCTCATGTCTATTTATTCTATATTATAATGACCCTTGTAGAAATTCATTTAAAAGAAAATTCAACCCTATTTCAGGTATTAGTGCAGTTTTTTTTTTTTTTAAATTGGGCATTTAAAAAAAAAAACAAATAAACAAAAGTAAATTAATTAGTGACAAACAGACAGATTCTAAAATAGTTTTGAGGAAAGAGAATCTTTGTAAAAATTTAATCCTCATCCTCTGATCCATTTATCTCTTTTTTTTTTAGTTCTTAATTGAAGGACAGAAGAAAAAAAAAATAAAACAAAAAAACAAAAAAGATGTTTGGTTGGGAGAATCCAATTGACAACCACACTTAATCACACAACTTTCATATCAATGGTTTCCTTTAGTTTTACCTACTGGTGTATTTTAATTCAAGACATTTTCTTTGTTTTTTTTTGTTTGCTTCATATTATCAAGTGAGAGATGAGCAGATACTGTCAAAGATGCAGCACTTTCTGTAACCACAGAAAAAAAAATATCTTCCTGTCATCATGCAAGAAGTTACTTTTTCTTTGTTAATTATGGAGAAAAATGAAAGTGTTGATGATTGTTAAGAAAATTTAATTTTTTTTTCTTTTTTACTTTCAATCACTAAGTGCTTAATTCTTGGATTTTAACTCATTAAATATTTTTAATACAATTCCCCAACCAATGTATACTGGTCATCCAAGGTGGTTAATTATAAACAAAATATTTATTTTAATAACACCTCCTTGCAAACAAACAACCAAAACAACAACAAAAAACAACCAAAACAACAACAAAAAACAACCAAAACAACAACAAAAAACAACCAAAACAACAACACAAAACAAGCCACTAATTAGACTCAAGTTGGAACTTTTTCTTGCTTGTATTAAATAAAATGATTCTAATCATGGTTTCTAATGAATTAACGGATTCTTATTTTTAATCAGACATTTTTTTTATTACTTAAATCATTTTCAGTGGATTCCCAGTATTTGAGTAGCTGCAAGGTTTTTTTTTTTGGTTTTTTTTTTACAGGGTGTATATTATGTCTAATACCAGTCTGTATGCTTAAGAAAACCAAAGGATTCCCTTTATAGGAGAAACCATTGTTTAATCTAGTGTACTTTAGACTGCTCGGCCAGAGAGAGAATCACAGCCCAGAAACATTCTATTTACCTTTCTATGAAATGTACACTCCCTGGTTCAGATTTTCTTGAAAGCCCATATCTGCTTGATTTTATACCAAAAATATAAACAAAGCAATTTCTAAGGAATTAACAGATTTTTATTTTTAATCCATCATTTGTTTTTATTACTTGAAAATGTTATTTTTTAGTAAATACCAGTGTTTAACTAATTTCCTAATCTTTCTTTTAGCTGTGTACCCACTGATCTCCAAGTGTTTTGTATTTGAATGTTGTTGATGCAGGCACAACAGGTCATGATATGTATGAAAGAGGAAGCACATGCCCGCTTTAGAGAAAAAGAACCTTTCAGAACATAATAGACATTTGTGGAAGGTTGAACTATACATGGTTGAAATGTTGTGATAAAAGATGAGGATATTAGTGTAAACACATGACTGATGAAAGCCTTTAAGACTTGATTCTTTTCTATTGGGTGCCTGCTGTAGGATTAGTAAATTTATCTTGCAAACCCATTCACAAGTATTGTGAATTGAAGACTAACTAATCCACTATTGCAGCCTTGTGCCAGACAAAGCTGAGTAAATGAACTATGTGGTCATTTTATAAGAATTTTAATTATAAAATAAAAATTGAATTAAGAACATCTCATTTTTTTTAATAAAGCATTGCAATAATTTTAATATCTAAAATTTTAATGGAAAAAAAAAAAAATTGTAAATTTAATTTAAAAAATTAAATGTGTACTTAATTTAAGTTTTAGACTATTTTTGCCAAATATAATTAAATTTGATAATGACATTATAGAAAATAAGGGATTCAATTAAAATTACTTAATGAATTTTTTTAAAAATCTTAGTTTTTATTTAAAATATTGCAAAAAATACTGTTGTTTATATCTGGTGTCTTAACCTGTCAATTTAGTTCAAAAGGTCAAGTGTGTATTGAGTCAGCGTTCTTAAAGATAGTGTATATTTAATCATGTCACATGGGACAGTTAAAGCATGGATAATCAAAAATGATAAAACCTTGTATTATGTACAGTATTATTCCCAACATTAAATCATTATCATTTACATTGAAATAATTCTTTTATCTCTCACAATAAAATAAAAAAAAAAAAAAAAAAAGATATATTCAGATAATATCTAAAATTTAGTAATAAAAGAATAAAGATTCAAAAGGGCACTTATTTATAACAAAGAAAGTTATCTTTTAAAGGATATTTTTTACAAGAAAAACATACCAAAAGGAAAAACAGAAATACGCTTTTATGATATAAAGTTAAAATATCATCCCTATCTACAAGAAATAGAAGTCTCTAGAAACTACTGTACGTTTAAAACCGACTGTTTTGGCAGAAAGGGAGCCTAAAGAAAAAAAAAAATACAATCAAGCATTTGATCAACAAGGCCCTTCAATAGAAATGATTGAAAGATCTTATAAAGATGGTTGAAATTTTTAAGACACATAATGAGGAAAGGGGGTGGCGAGAATATAACACTCACAAGTTGAGCAAGGAGAAACATGAGCTTGTATAAATGGATGGCAGAACAGAGACTGGGAGGAATGTTAAAGAGACAAACATTGCTTAGGGCTATAGAGAGTCATAATGTCCATATCCTCAAGAGACATGTCACAGAAAAGATCACTAAAACTACAATTATTAAATGTAGATTTTTTTTTTTTTAATCCAGACAATGGATTATGGGGGTTGAACCCTGCAGTATGTGATGCATTTCTCATCCACTGACTTATTTCCAAACTTTTATTGCTGGCTTGGGTAAAGAAGTTTTACTAATACTTTTTTTTTTTAACCCCATCCCTATCATAGACATGTATATAGGTTTTTACCTAAAGCATCTATTTCATATATGGATGAATTAACATTGCAAAAACATAAAATTCAAAAACCAGCTACAGACTTGTTTATATGTTGATTTTGATTCTTTTTATGCCTTTCTGAGCTTGAAATGAGTCAAATTGTCAACTCATTCGTCTAGTGAAGGTGTTAACCACAACTCAGGTGCTTCAAGATACCTCACTTTCTTAGTTACTAGATTAAAAACAAATAAAAAAATTTGTCTGAAAATGAAACCTATTTCCCAAAATAATTGGTGGGGAAAGGGTTAAATATCGTGGGTATTTATCACAATCATGAGTTCCAAAACCTCTGAGGGTCACTGCGGCTTCAAATGCACTGCAGCTATAGCAACAGTGTGTGTATCTAGGGTAGCTGATTGATTTTTTTATGGCTTATCAACCCTTTATATATAATTTAAAGTCAGAAAATATCTTTAAATTGTTAGAATTTTTTTTTAAGGTAATGATTTAATGATACAAGTCTTGCTAATTAACCCATAGCTGGAGGAAGAAGAGGTGGATTCATAACTTTCCTAAAGATATTTGTGCATAAGTGAATATAACAAACTCAACTAGAATTGGAACTTGGCTCTCTGATTAACAATTCTGAGCCATTATCCATTACACCATCTGCACATCAAGGTTTACAGCACCTGGTATTCCCAAGCAGTCACTCATCTAGGTACTGACCAGGCTCAACGTTGCTTAACTTTGGTGATCGTATAAGAACCAGTGTTTGAACACGATGTGCCTGTAAGCCATCTATAGCAAGATGGTTTGACTGAGCTCATCCCTCTACAGGCTGGGTTTAAATTCAGAGTCACCTTTCTCCCAGATTAGTTGCCTTACCAAGGCTAAAGAGGCCAGGGTGTTCTATTATTTAGGAGGGTCTAAATTTTCTCTAAAATACAAAGAAAGAGAATCCAGCCTACCCTGCTATTTAGCCTATAGAAAGAGGAAGGATTTTTCTAAGGAGATTAGGTCAAAGTGAATGAAACTCAAGTCAGAATTGTAAGTTAACATGCATATAACTGTAGATTTTATATGTACTAATTTAAATAAGATTCAGTGGAGGATTATGGGATTTTTTTTCCCCTCTGTAAACCCCAAAATATCAACCTTTTATTTAAAAGATGGAAACTCGGCACCAGGTTACCATTTATCACTAGACATAAGTGGAACATAGAAGTTGCAGAAATGCAAGGGTATGAGACCACATTAACCCATTGAGCCCTGTGGTCCTGAACAATTTTAACCCTTCTGCCTGAACTCCCAAGTCAAAATTTGCAAAGAATTGGTATGTAATGTTTCACAGTGGATATAAAAATAGTTACAAGTGTTTACCCACTGTTCAACCAGTGGCTGAGCATTACATCATTTTTTTTCTCTACCACCAGTAAAGTGGTGGTCAGGGGTCAAAGGGTCAAGATGCTGGCAAATGTAGTTCATGTGCTTGTGCATTGAAATATAGAAGTTAAATTATGACAGTCAATTGATTAATTGGGCTCGACTACCAGAGGTAAACAAGGACTTTAATAAAACAAATGACTAAAATAGTGATGTAAGTTCATCACAATATTTTGACAAGTACACCTCTTGAACAATTGGATCACCATAATTTAACTATTGTTCCTACTTTATCTACTATTAATTATAATTTGGTTAAATATAATTGATTATTGAAGGCGGATATTAGTCAATAATAGGTGAGGTTATCTATATTTAAATTATTAGTTCTTCTTAGATTTTCTTTTAATTCATTCTTCACTATTTAATTATCAGCATTGTACATGTGTTTATCAATTCCATTTAGTCAACTGTATCATTCAACTTATCTTCCTCCAGGACAGGGTAAGTGTAAGTAAATGATAGTCAAGCCAATTATTGTGATACTTAACAAATTCAATCCAGAGTAAAAACGTTTAGCTTAATATTTTCCTTATAAAATCCATGATGGCAAAAGATGTTCTACTTACATTTGTAGGATATATCTTCTTTGCAAAGAATTTTATTTTGCTAAGTAGAGAGAAAATGTTAAAAAAAAAGAAAAAAAAAAGAAAAGTATTTATTCTAACTTTAAATTGTCTTTAAATCCCCCATCACTTAATAATATAAATCCACTAGAAGGAAACCTAAATTCATTTAAATACAACTAAAGGCTTTGGCCATAAATAAACTCCCAACCCAGACTCATTATCAAAACGAGGCATCCCCCTTAAGTAGCCCCATACATTTTCATCGATTGCTATCTAAACTAAATTCAAAAACTCTCGTTCCTCAGTAAAAAGTGGGGGGAAAACAAAAAACAAAACATTTTATTGATATAATTTTAATTATGGGTGGCTTAACCAGGACAATTAGTGAGTACCTTTGAGTAATTAACAAAGGAAGAATCAAAAATAAAAAAAAAAAAAAAGCCTTCTTCACCTCATGCATAATTTGATTCCACTCAATGTTTACGGGTAGAAAAGAGCAAACAAACCAAAAGTTATTTTGAAATGCCATAAATGACTGACTTCATTAGCTCTGTACTGGATAACTTTCAACAAAAGTGTTTTTTTGGGGTTTTTTTAATGGCATAAAATCATGTTACAATGATGGCAACTTTTAAGCCATAAATTTTGTAGCAAATAACTTCATTTCTGATGTTCAGATATTTCTGCATTTTTATACATTTTTTTTTATTTTACTGCCAACGAAATCAGCAAAATTAAGTTGCAGTTGCGAATAAGCTGAAGACAGTAATGAAGAGAAACAATTCTGGTAAAATATTAAATGATTAAAATATGAAGTGTGTTTCTTTGGATAATTTTAAAGAAATACTAACAATATATTTGCAAAGAGGAAGAGAATGAGAAAGCTTTCAGTTTGAATGAAAATGGTTTGCTGTATTTTTTCCTAAACAAGAATAAAACTGAACATCATAAATCACTCAAGAAGAAAGAGAAATAAAAATAGGTAATGGCATCAAAAAGTCAGATTCCAATTTGTTGTTGCAATATGAAAGAGATTAGAAAAATACTTACATTATTGGAATGGTGGTCATTTACTTGACAGTTTTTACTATTTTCCATTTTACTATGAACACTTGTAACCTTGGACAATCGGTTGCAAAGGAGAATGATCTTGATGGCTTGCTAAAGAGGAAAGGAAAAAAAATATTTAGCTTCAATAAGATTTGAAATTGAAGAAAAAAAAAAAAATCAATATAAGAACTGTGAAGGTTGTAAGAACATCATTATCATAATAGATAAAGAGATTTGTGTCAGTAGCTGAAGCTTAACTTGTGGCAAAAGCAATTTCTGTTTCACATCTTAAATTTACATTTTAAAATATACTTAGACATAATGGATTCTGACAGAGGTTTTGGAGAAACAGAAACCCGTTTCCATTATTATATTTGCTTTAGTAAATCCTATAGCTTAATTTCAGGAAAGTAGTTTATAGTGATTGGATTCTGTCAAGGTTTCATCATATAAATAGGTAACAGCTTTTAATTGTTAGTCCATAACCTACTGAAGCAATGAAGCAGAACAGTGTAAAGAGGAAATTTGAATTTCACAGCTGAAGCTTTGTCAAATGTTCATTTCTGAAAAATATTTCTTTCACCTTATTCTTTACTCCAAAGATTAAAAATAAAGAATAAGATTTGAATTCATATTCTTTAAATCTGATTAGATATTTTGTTGAGAGAATGAACATAGGAAGATGTGAGTTCATGCCTTTTTTATGCATTAAAGTGCACACAAGCAGATTCAATTGAGAATTGAATATTTTATTCTCAGTAACTTTCTTGCACCAATGGAGTCTCCATTTTAATCTGATTTTTAGGAACATTACATTTAGAGGTTATAATCTTTTTCTTTAAGGATTAGTTCCAGACAAACATTATCTTGTTAAAAGCAATCATTTCAGATTTGCACTTGTAACTTATTTGTTAATGCTGATTTGGAAACAAATATTTATTAACAAAAGTAATAAAATCCTATCAATTACAAATATATATTTTTCACAACGCATAAATATGCTGACTTAAGTATCTAAAATTATTTCCAGAATAAAATGCAAACTCATCACAATTGCATAAGTTCTGAAGTGTAAGAAATGCTAAAATAGAACTGCGTCATTAAACCCAATTCATTTTAATATCTGAAAATCTTTACTATCACACAAGAAATGTTAAAAGGCAATCATTTTCTTCATATCTATGAATGTACACAATTGAAAAAAATAATCATTTAATATTCAAAATAATCAAAGTTTAATTTCTAGAGATTCTCATGCAAGTTATTTTGTTTATGCAAAAATGGAAATTTTAATTGAAATTACAATTCTCACTGTATTAAATAAACAAAAAAAAACAATTTACATCCTCTGCCAGATTTGAATTGATGTTAATATTATAATCCATAGATATCCAGACAATAATTTAATTTAACATTTGAGAATTTTTGTTAGCGAGTTAAGTTTCAACAAGACTTTTTTTTCTTCTCTACTCTCTTGATAGACTATGGATGATATACACAAGGATCATCTGTAGAATAGGTGTTTAAGAAGAGTCTATTTTGAAAATTTATAGAAGTCTTTTAAATCTCAGTTAATCACACTTATTTACTCTAAGTTGTTGAGATTCTGATAAGTCTACCTGATCATGAAAGGTTTCGCAGATAAAGTGTTGTCTATAAAAGATGTATTCATAAAATATTGAATATAAAATAGAAGTTACTGTATCCTAAATTCCTGTAATTTATTAATTTTATTTTATTTTAACAATAAACAAATTAAAACATTATTATAAATAGTCATGAAAAAAATATTAGAAAATTTGTATAGTTTCTTTGCCATACTGTAAATTAATGCAAACAGGATTAAAAAAAAAAAACAAAGTTACATTTAAAAGTATTTGCTTCACCTACAAGTCCATATAATATAGTTTAACTATACAAAATTTACCATAAGATCTTTAAATTATACATTAAGGCAAAAGCTTATCTTTTCAATTGGTACTTCTCTAACTGAAATATTCTTAACCTTTGAGAATATTTTTCTTTTAAAAAAGTATCTTTATGTGTTTTGGAAAAGTGTTTTGTTTTGAAGGCAAGCAATGTATTTATTGGCGTGTGAGAAGTAATTTAAAAAACATCAGAAACTAAAAATGGCCGTGTCTTCATTGAATAAGAAACAAAATGAACATCTTTTATAAATACATTTTTCATTAAGTGATATTCAAAATTGCCCATTGAGAATTTCTATTTCCATAGTCAGATACAAGCATAAAATAATATATATACACTCATAGAAAAATGTATATATTCACACATTTGTGTGTGATGTCCATTTCTGGGAGTGAAAAAAAAAGCTAGCAAATTATAAATAGTAGTGAAACATCAAAATTCTTTTCTAGGTTTCATTGTTACTTTAAGAAACATAGAAAATGTCATGTTAATTGGCCTTCACAAAAAAAAAAAACACACTTTCAAATGACATAATTACCAAAAAGAATTGAAAATATCTTCTCACTTTCAAAATTGAGAAAAATTATGAGGTTAGCATGATCATTTCAAGAGAATCAATTGACTTCATATCAATGCCAAAAACATCAGGAGATTCTTTCAGACTTACTGGAATAGAAAAAATGAGATTGTCTAATTGTCAACAGAAAAATGAGATTGTCTAATTGTCAATGTTACTATATATTGTCTAATTGTCAATGTTACTATAGAAAAATACATATATTAAAGAATAAAAATCCTTAAATAAACCGTGGTAAACTTAGCAAATAGTTTTTTGAAAATCCTATTAACATAAAAATGAAATGGACTAATTCCATCTATTTTAGAATTTAACAATGAATCTACAATCATGAATTGGATCAGTTGATGAAATCTCCGACAAAAAAAAAAAAAAAAAAAAAAAAAAAGAGTAAGAACTACCAAGTCTTACCATATTGGGAATATAAGAAGCATTTATTTATATTTAATATTTTCTGGAGTTAGGCTACAGACAATTAGTCTGTGGAGTCTGTATAAACACTAGCCTATCAGATATTTCAATTTCAAATACAAGACACAGGATATTCTTTAGGAGGTTTTGTATGCTAATAAAATTTGATAAGATGTGAATCTCTTTTCCATCAACATTTTTGTTGATAAATATGTTCATTGAAATTGTGTTACAAACATTTGTCAATTAATTTTGAGTTTTGCATAAGGTTGAAAATCATTTGTATTGAAGTTTTAATGGTGAGATTAAAAATAGCCCTAAAATCTAAAATAGTCACTCAGTGCCCCTGAGTGATTAAGGGGGTGTAGTTGTGTGAGGGAGGGGGTAGTTGGGGGTAATTGCCTTTATTGTCCCTAATTATTTTGTCCACTTTTTGCTTCAGAATATCAATTGGTACTTTGACGTCAAATGGAAGAAAACGACCTTAACGACTACCGGACTCTTTAACCTGGGACTCTACCAATTGAGCAAAGAATGGTCAATACAGAAAAAGTGGGGAGAATGGTGTCGTGTGGTGATGGTGGTGTAGCTACTGCTGTGCAGATCAGAAGAATATTTACATACAATAATTTATTTAAAGATGTTAAGTCCATGATTTTTTTCCCCAAATGTCATATCTCTTCAGGACAGATAAGAATGTATTTCCTTTCTGTTAACTGTGAATTGACATTACATTTTGGGAAGTATAGTGGAGCAGTTTTCTTTAGCCTTCACTGTTATGATAGTGAGTGGAAAATAATAATTTTGATTACAAGTCACATTTAATATATGGTAATAAAATATATTACCCTTTCATACAAAGATTTAAGAGTTCTTTTATTTCTTTTTACTCTTAAGCAAAATCTTCAAAAATTTCTGAGAAATTTTCTACAATTACTGAGCCAGTCATTAAATCTTGTACATCAATTATACATTTGACTCATTGCAATAAAACAAACAACATTCATGCTATTTGTAAGTTATTCACTAAAAAAAATTTAAATTCTCTTATGTAATTTAGATATGAAGATGTTTTGTAAACAAGTGCACATTTTTAACTCTGGCAAAGAGAGAGTTCCAATTATTCAATGTTGTTTCTTTTGAAGAGCAATTAAAAAAAAAAAAAAATGAAAATGTGGAGATCAAAATCTTTACTTAACAGTATTTGGTTTCATAGTTAATCCCTACTATTAAATATGGTACACAAAGTTTGGTGAGTAGCTGCACTAGTCGCATACTGATCACAAGTGCGAGTGCTCTTTATTGGAGCTCAATATTGAATTTTGAAATATGATGGATTCTAACCTCACATAATTGGTGAAAATCTCCCCCCTTTGCTCCATCTCCAATTCAGACCTATACTCCACCAAGTGAAGCTGAGTAAAGAGGTTATATTTGAGAAAAGTTTAATATATGAGATAATGATATATACTTTTATATATCAAGAACAATGCTGGGAAAATTGTATGACAAAGTGGAAAAGTTTACGTGTAATGCATTTTGTCCTTCAGGACTTCAGACTAAATTTGTTATGCTGGTAGGACTACATATGAGCACAAAAATGAAGTGCTAGGAATTTTAGAATTTTTTTTTTTTTTTATATCCAGCCGAATTCATTTAGAATCTTTTTCTTTCCATCACTTTTTTTTAGTACATATCCTACACTATGATGATAGAAGTTCTGCCAGGAATGGTTAAATATTGTAAGTTTACTGTATGACCTTGCAATTAAGGCACATTCTAAACATTTATGTCTTAGTGAACTGTTTTCTCTTTTGATCACAGTAGCATTTTTTATCTCAAAATTGTGATCAGTCTTGTTACTGTGGGCAACCAATGCATTTGACATATTGTTTTGTAAAATGTCCCTTTTGTGTTCATATAATCTTTTATTTACTTTTCTATGGTTTCTCTTCTTGCTTCCCAGTCAAATTTGATCTTCAAGCATTTAAATGCAATGTCAATTGTTATCGTCCGTTTTCTTAATTCCTGTTCTTTTATGGTTCCCTCCTCAATAGTACCTGTTCTCATATTCTCTAACAATCAGTAACCCTTTGCATTTTAGCGGCTTTATTGCCTTGCTTGAGGTGAAATGATTTATAAAAAAAATTGAAGTCTGCAATAAACTGAATTGAATCAAATATCACATCTATAG